GGCTCTTTGCGGTGATGACTTAGATGAACAAGTTTCAGCTCATCTGAGCAGCTCAGTAAAATGTAACGTGTTTACCTGCAAGATGGTCTATGTGGGTATGTGTCCCTGCCAGAACGCTGATGTGTGTAAAAGGAATAGTGCATTTAAAAGTACAGCATGCCCATCCAACTCTCTGTTGGAGATTGTGTATACAAGCGACGAGAAAACGAAGCTTACCACATCAAACGCTGCCAAACTTTACTCAACGGGAAACTCTAGCTATGAAGATTATGACCCAGAATATCCATCAGATATTGATGAAAAAGTTGACTTCGAAGCTCTGCCTAGTACAGCAGCTAGTAGAGCAACATCAAAGACAACTGTTGCTCCGAAACTTCACTCAAGTCCGATGACCACCAAAAACCTTAGCAAAGCGACTTCATCGAACGACACAAGTGTGCTTGAAACTCGACAGGCAGAATTTGCAAGTACTCCTACCCAGCAGGATTCTATCACAAAGACGATTACTTTGAGTCCCTGCTATTCATACAATATGAGCACGACTGATGGTGTATCTAGCACGACGGAGTATGTCGAAATGAGAAGTACTGCTGCAAGCACCAACTCAGTCGCTACAAACAAACTGTTACAGTCAACTTCGGATACAACAGTTATTAGCAGCACTGATTCATCAGAAACCAGATCGTCCTTGAGAAGAACAAGTTCATCGCAGTCGACAAACTCTCTTCTAGGTTCGACTACGACAACATCTACACAAAATGTAACGGCTTCGATGAACTATGATAGCAAGGGTACTTCAGTAAGCAAAAGCTTGACAGCAGGTATAATTTCGCAAGCTCATTTTGGTTCCACAGACCTTCCTACAAATACTTCTATGCCACCATTGCCAACTTCGAAGACACCGAAAATGGGGAAGGAATCGGACACAAGCGCGACGCGTCGTAGCTCATCGTCAACACGAAGAACCGAAACGTCTGCTAAAAACTACACATCGTCAAAGCAAAGTGCAAAACCCACATATAGTGCAGAGCGCACATCCAAACTTCCATTTAATTCCAGAAAAATCGAGGGACAGACGACTTCACCTTCACAACAAATCGAATTCGGTGATTCTACTCACTTTTCAACCTTAGCAAGCAGCGTTCAACAAGTCGTATTGGGGGCAACCACGCCATCAGAATCATCCCATTCCAGCTTTGAAAGATTGTCTAAGGAGACAATGGCAACTACTGGGAAGAGTGACAGAATGTCTACAAGCAGAGCAATAACCTCTACAGAATCTCTGGCATCGCAAAGTTCAGAAAGAACCACATACGAAATATTCGATTTCATTTCCTCAAGATCAGCAAGAACAGTCAAGCATACAGAACCGTTATCTCCAACAAGCGTTGATGGAGTGTCTTTAGCATTCTCGACAAAAATAGCATCTATCAAAGATGCACCACTTAGTGTTATGTCTACCTTACGCATATCTCCACAGAAGCCTTTGATTAGTGAAAGCCCTGCTCAATCTGATGGAATATCTGAATATGTTAGTACATCAGCAGAAAGTTCCTCACCGCTAGCACCCACTGCTTCTCCTGCAATGATTACCGATTCACATAGCAATGATAGTACAGTGAGCGCCACAGAAGCGACGAGTTCCCAAGGCAAGACTACTGCGCAAACGACTGGACATTTAAAGGACACTTTAAAAAGCGATTTGAGTCCAAGTCACACTATGCCAAATCTTGGGACTTCGCGGCAATCGACAAATGAAGAGCCAATGAGTGCATACGCAACCGATACAAGAACAAGGGCTAGCGAAGGTTTGAGCATGAAGGAATCAACGAATTTGCAGCCTTCAAGTATGGCAACCACAACGTTCGTTGATGACATCGCTTCGTATTCAACTGAGCCCTCTGAGGAAGTGACAAAAAGTGAATTTGCTTCAGTCGCTACAACAACGAAAAACAGAGTGGCCGACACTTCCATAGCTCATTCTACATCACTGGGAGCAACACATTCTACTTCTGCAGCAAACTCAGAGAGAGCTTCTAATTATCCATCGACGGCTGAATCTTACGCCGCGGGGACGTCGCAAGCAGTCTCCACTATTGTTCAAGATGAAACTGATATGAAGATTGGAACGCACACAATTTTTTCTAAAAGCGAAACTTCCAGTTTATCGAACTTACATGCTACGACAACTTTACCTTCCACAATTTCAACAGTGAAGACAGTGCAATCTACAGCGACCGGAGCAGAGTGGGACACTACTACCAGTTTACCCATTGTATCAGACCCACTGCAATCTACCACACAGAAGGAGGAGAATTCCTTTGTCAGCTTAAGCACAATTTACCTCCCTACCAACCGAACTTCATATGCAGTTGAAGATTTATCGACACAAAAGTCAGCTATATCGGTGACAGAGACCCAAATTTCTAGCACATCAGCTGATGATAACAAATCAAGTCAGCATAAAGAGTTGCAAGAGTACGAGCGAAGTTCAAGAAGGGCAGCGCAGTCTCGGACAAATCTGAAGATTACCACGTTTGATGTACAAATGACCACTAAGTTGAAGCAAAAATTTTCAGAAACTTATCCAGAACAAAGCACTTTCCCTACAAATGAAAGCTCTCGTGAAACCAGTGGTGCAAGAAGACTGACTACAGCAGACATCGTTAAAGAAGGAAGTACGAGCAAAGAAAAAGACAGGGACGAAACTACTGAATGGGACACTGCTACCACTAGCAAAGCTTCAACAATCGAAACTTTGTCGAATACCACAGTGCTAGGATTGGGCACTTCTATGACTTCCGAGATCAAACGTTTTCCTTCTACTAGTATAAGGGTTACCAGCAGGTCTGAATTTGAAAGCA